CGGTCGAGGCCGACTGCCCGGACGCGGCCAAGCAGGCCATTGTGGACTGCGACTTTGCGGGCACGCAGCGCACGCTGGTGCTCACGGGCCGGCCGCTGCGCATGCGGCCCAACGGATACATCAACGACTGGCACAGTCGCCGCGCCGACGAGATACAGCGGCTCTGCAGCGAGGGCGTCGTGCCCATGGACCGCGACCGGCAGGCGGGCAGGCCGGTGGAGATTCCCGTCCTCATGGGCGAGGTTGCAGGCCTGATTACGGATATCCTGCCGGCGCGCCAGATTGTGGAGGACATGGTCAGGGAGGCGACGGAGATGCTCAATCTCGGCTGCGTGTATCTTGGACAACGCAGCAGCAAGCTTTAGCCCCGAGAAACTTGTTTCATGATTTTTTTTCTTTTCGGTCTCTTATCTCGTCAGTACGTTGCATAGCAGGAGTTTTATAGCGAAGCGATAAGAAGAAAATGAGGTTTTTTTGGAAAAAAAAACAAAAAAAAGGTTAGGCAAAGTCGTAATCTTCGTAATCACTCATCATTTAAAGGCTCGCTAAAGCAACTACCTAGCGCCGAGAGTGCTCGCTAAGAGACTAGCGCGTAGGACCCCTTATCAGGATCCATTTACATGTTACCGAGAGAGAGAGGTGTTTTACAAAGGCTCGTGGATTAATTGGTTTGTTTTTTGTTTTTGCATCTACGCTTGGCATGTGAGGAAAGAAAAAAAAAAGTCAAATTGCATATGGCTCAAAGCTGTAAAAAAAAAATAACGTGCCCGTGTGAGAGCACAGATAACTACATGAAAGACGAAGAAAAAAAAAAAAAAATGCCAATCGCTCAAAGTCTTGCAGACTGCTGCCACGCACTGTTGGAGTACTGCGTCAGCTTCCACGCCAACTCGGCCAGCGGAGCCTTGATGGCAGCGTACGCGGCGACTTGGTCGCTGCCCGCCTGGCCCGTGACCATGCGGGCCTCTATGCCCTGGCAGAGAACGGCCGTCTTCCATATGCTAAAGGCGATGCCGTAGTCAAAGTCTGGGGCGGGATCGTAGTCGCCGTAGCAGGCGTACCATTGCACAATCTGCTCGGGTTGCGGCATACCTGGCGTGCGGCCGGGCAGCAGGCTGGAGAGGTCGTAGGGCGAGCCACCAGGATGTCTGGCCATGTGGAAAAAGGTGACCAGGCTGGCAATGTCGGATAGCGGGTGGCCAATGGTGGATGTTTCCCAGCTAATACAACCGTGGTTGGTTGGTCAATGTCTTGCAGACTCGGCAGATCATAATGGGGGTTGGGGGGGTAACATACTCTAGAATACCAATGACACGGGGCTCCGTCTTGTGAAAGACAAGGTTATCAACTCGATAATCGCCATGCACCAAGCATGAACGATCTCGGGGTTGTACGCTTGCATTCTGGAAAAATTGCACACACTCCGCATAATAGGGCAGCGGTCCCAGCGGTTCCTGTGTCGCCGTGTTGATCACCTTGGACTGGCTCGCGCAAATGGCATCAAAGGACCGAATCTGGCGCTTATAAAATCCACTCGGCTTGCCAAATCCCTCGAGGCCAACCTGTCGCGGATCAATGGCATGCAGCTTGGCCAGCGTCTTGGCTGCGGCCTCCCAGATGGCGGTCCTCTCCTCCGGGCTCACACCCGGAACGCCAACGTCGGCAAAGATGCGGCCGTCGAGAAACTCCATAATGTAAAACGTCGTGCCAATGATTGATTCATCCTCGCACAGGGCGTAGGGCTTGGGGACGGGCACGTCGGTATTTTCGAGAGCGACGAGGACCTGGTACTCGCGCTCTACACGGTGCGCGTGCTTGGAGATTTGCTTCCCGGGAGGTCGCTTGCGCAGGACGTATTTTTTGCCGTCAGCAGCGACGATTTGATATGTTGGGTTGGATTGGCCATGTTTAAACTGTCGCAAGCCATTCACGTTAGCTTGAAAGGGGGGGTGTGCTGCGCTGATGCAAATGCGACTTGCCTGCTTCAATTCAATGGGTGTTGTAATTTCTGGCACATTTTCGCGCAAAAAGTTTTCAAGGGCGACTTGATCAATCTTCTGACGTACTACACCGGCCATGATGAAAAAAAAGTATATGGAGAAGAAAGAAAAAAAAAACCTTTGTATCGTTAGCGGTCGAGTGAGACAGATTATCACGCAAATTATGATGGGGTCTTGTTTGTTTCGACGACCTCTGCTATTTACATAAATACTAGCCCTCTCTGCAGGCTGCACATGCCATGACCCGCACCATTCTCGGAATAAATGGACACCCTACACGCGACACCGGCTCGTACAATTCCCCGTCATCAGCAAACCCGACAAACCAAGATTTTTTTTGGTTCAACATTCGTTATAAGTGACTATAGTACTGGTTCTAGGAGGCAACTACACGGACTTTCCAACTTTGGCTTGCCAGTTCGGTAGTTTATTATGGGGCGCCGATGGGTGGGGACGGGGCTCCACAGCTCGTGCGACATGGAGTGGATCTGGCAGCTTAAATATATTAATTAATTAAGAACAATATTATTGTATGTACAAGTGCTCCATCTTGACCCAATCTACCTTTCTTATCTGCTGAAAAAAAAAAAAAAAAAAAAAAAAAAAAAACATTCGCTTTTTATTCAGGTGGTCAAGAACCGCGCAACGTACTATACTTGCGTGAACCACTTTGCTATCATCATCCGTTCCGTGCTATGGTCTAGGCCCCCGGTCTTCGGGCTCGAGGCTCTCTCCGCGTTCGCCCGCCGCCTCCTCTAATTCAGCTTATAGTAAGCCCCCCGTTTTCGATCCCGATACAAGCAAGCCACGACGGGGAGCCAAAAAATCACCACTTCCCTTTTCTCGTCATCTTGTTCCTCTTTCGAGCATCCCACGCATGAAAAAAATTGGATGAGACATCGACACGAACATCAGTTTGCTCGCCTCGTCTTGGCTCGTCTGAATCAGCTATACCAGCGCCGAACACCGCCGCCAAACCAGGCACACAGGCACAAAACAGGGCTGATCAGCGCCCCGGGGGGGGGGGAAACCACCGGTCCACGACGGATGGACTATCCCCTTTGAGAACGGGACTGGGTGGCCACTTTTTACACGCAACCCCTCCCCCCCGGTAATAAAATTGACGAGGGGTTTGATGCGACGAATGCCGCAAGCCACGCGGAAAGCCGAACGCCTTCCTTGGGACGCCCCCGTGCTCGTTTGGGAATCATGTCTCGTGAAGAGTTGCTGTTTGTTTCTCTGCCAAGGAACAAGGAAGCAAAGTTCATCGCCGAGCCGGGAAGCACATGCTTTGGAGAAGAAACGAGCAAATTAATAAATAAATAAAAAAAGAGGGTAGGAAAAAAAAAAGTTGTATTCCAACTGTTGTTGGTGGGGTCGCCTATAACAGCGTCGTAGTCAACTTGATTGCTTGATTGCGTCCCTTCCTGTTCACATAGCAAAACCGGTGTGTATTGTGTGATAAGCCCTTGCTTTGCGGGCCCCGACCAGAATGTGAACCTCGGGAACAGACTCGTGTGGGCTCCAGCTTATAACAGTTTTTATTTCTTATTTTATTTTTGCCCTTTTTTTGCTTCCTCTTCTGCTTTGGCAGGCTTTGTCTCGAGCATTTTCCCTTTCCATCTCATTCGTCCTCTGAAGCCCGTCTTGCCTTACCACAAACAATGTCGCATACCTCCAACGTTGCGCAAGGCGACGAGACGTCCCCAGGCACGGCGCCCATGAAAGAAAAGGTCAGCGACAGTCCGCGGCGCTTGAGTTCGCAGCAGGACGTGTCAGACTCGGAAAAGGCAGCGCCGCCTGCCGCAGGACCGCCGCCGCCTCCAGACGGAGGCGCAACGGCTTGGCTCGTCGTGCTTGGTGGCTGGTGCACTGCCTTTTGCAGCTTTGGCTGGTTGAATAGTATTGGCGTCTTTCAGCAATACTACCAAAAGGAGCTGCTGCGCGGCCAAAACTCGAGCACGGTATCATGGATCCCTTCTCTGCAAATATTCTTCATCCTCGGACTGGTACGTCGTCCCCCTTTTTGTCTTGCTTCATTACCTCTCATATTAACTCACCGGGAAATCAGGGTCCAATCGTTGGCATGATCTTTGACCGCTACGGTCCGCGAGGGCTGCTCCTGGTGGGCACCCTAATGCACGTCTTTGGCATCATGATGGCCAGCATCAGCACAAAGTACTGGCAGATTCTCCTGGCACAGGGCGTCTGCTCCGGCATTGGTGTCTCTGCCGTGTTCCAGCCTCGTACGTTCTTGTCTTCTCTTACCTTTTTGCATTTTCTTGGCAAACAGAACTAACACACCAACTAGCTCTGAGCTGCGTTGCCGGATACTTCAACAAGAGACGCGGCGCTGCATTCGGCATCCTTTCCACAGGCGCCTCAGTCGGCGGCGTCGTTTGGCCCATCATGGTGACGCATCTTATCCGTCTCGTCGGCTTCGGCTGGGCCATGCGCACCAGCGCCTTTGTCAACCTCTTCCTCCTCACCATTCCCAACATCACAGTCCGTTGTTTCCAGCCACCAGTTCCGAAAAAGGTCACCGGCGCTCAGCTCGCCAAGCCATTTCGCGAGCTCGACTACGTCCTCGTCGCGTGCGGTTTTCTTTTTCTGACCTATGGCGTGTTTGTGCCGCTCAACTACCTCCCCGTCCAGGCCGCCAGCACCGGCATGGATCCCAACCTGGTCCAGTACCTGCTTCCCATCCTCAACGCGGCGTCTCTGTTTGGTCGTTTATTCGCCGGCTTTGGAGGCGACAAGATTGGTCGCTTCAACATTCTGATTGGATGTTGTTACTTGTCCGGCATTTGGATTCTGGCGCTCTGGATCTCTGACAGAAGCCAGTCGGGCATCATTGCCTTTGCTGCGCTGTTTGGCTTCTCCTCTGGAGCCTACATTTCGCTCGTCACCCCCGTCGTTGCGCAAATCTCACCTCTACCCGAGATTGGATTTCGCACCGGCATCGTCTTCTTTGTTGCCTCGATCGGTGGCCTTACCACGAATCCTGTCAGTGGAGCGCTCATCGACAGCTCGGCAGGCTACACGGGAATGATGGTCTTTGCCGGCGTCCTTTGCCTGGTTGGCACGACATTTATCCTGGTGGAGCGCGTGCGAAAGACTGGCCTCAAGTTGGCTGTTGCTTTTTAGATCCTTTTAAAAAAACTTTGGCTGGCAACACCGAGGCGCAACGTGCCCTCGAGTCGAGCAGGTGCATCTTCAATCGGGCCACAATACTGTATATATGTTCTATAGCCTAAAGTCTTATGGATGTTTGCAGACTATGCCCGAGTTTAGTCCGAGTTAGAGTACATGCTGGAGGTATTTTGAAAATTGCAATAGTCTTAATCGCAACGAAGGCGGGTGGAGGCGGGTAGAGTTAAGACGGGAAAGCCCAAGATTCCGGGTAGCAGCGGAGGATAGAGGGTCAATGCAGGAGCGACAAGAATAATTCAATCACATCAGCGTCTTGGCCGGGCCATTTATCAGAGGTTTCATATCTCAGAATAATATCTAATCATCTATGTGCTCCATCTTCGACAGCAAACAGCAGCTTCAATTGATGTTGTCGGGGCGCGTCTTCAAGATTCATACCAAGTTGGCCATTTTGGCAAGCCCCTCGCAAAGGTTTTTCCTTTACTTCTTTGAGACAGAACATTAGCTAAATAAGAAACCTTGATAGACACCAAGACATCCAAGAGTCAACACAAGGCCCGAGAGGGTTAATATTTAGCGAGTCTTTCGCATTCGTCACGCATTTGTGGTTCCCGCCTCAAAGGCAAGCCACGTCGGAGCCGACCAACACTGTGGGCGCTCGACGAACCCAATTCTGGAAGATTGATCATGCTTTTCATATCATTCAAAAAAAAGTCGTCTGCAATCAAACTTGGACGCTACACCACTCGAAATCAGTCATACGCTTACTGACATGAGCCAGGAGTCAGCGTCGAATCCTCATTACAGCGAGTTGCCACTCGACTGTCATATCATGGTGCGCTACATACTCCTGGCCTTAGGCGGCTCGTTCTTCAAGTACAGCAGCGACATGGGCAATATCTAACTATGGTAGTGACAGCGAACGTAATGATGTGTACAACCTTGCATTTGGCAGCTTAATTCATCACACATCACAATAGCCAATTATAGTAAAGACAGTAATATCTCGAATTAAACCAAATTTTCGTCATGACAGAATAGTTGGTACTTGCTTTGGCGGGGGCGCAATTGACTCACTTCCCCAGACTGATACCGCCAACGCGTTTGAAAGCAGCCATCTTGTCTTTTCAATGCTGCTTATTTCCAATGGGTAACCGTACCGTAAGACTTGTGGTGAGCGTTGACCACACGCTTAGCGATAGACTTGCGTTTGGTCAGGGTTCTTCCATCATCGCCAATGTCAACGCAGCCCTCCACAGTCTGCAATGAGCAGAGAGGAGCCAGCATCTTGATCCCCATGTCGCAGAAGAATCCGTCAGGGCCTACAAAATCGGGCCCCCAAGAACTTGCAGACGAGCATAGCTCTTTGGTAGAGTGCTGAGTTATGTTGGATAGGACCAGACGGTCTTCCATCCACGCCTGGCGAGGCTTCAATGCACGTCTGCCGGGTTTTGCTGCAACGAACTATCGTTAGCTTGATTTCTATACAGCAGAAATAATTCCGTTCAGAGGGAATAGATTGTACCGTTGATAGGGCCATTATCAGGGCCCCATAGAGTGTATTGGCATGCTTGAGCATTCTTCAGCGTGTCCTTTACCTTTTCCGCGTACGCAGTCGTTTTAAACTTCAGAGCGGCGCTGGCAACATCGTCGGTGTGATCCTCATCCAACCAAGTACAATGAGGGATGTAGTCTCCACCTCCGTCCGGCAAGGCTCCGGCTTTCTCTGACTGTGGATACCATTTTTGATCGCAATTGTATCCAATATCACCGGTCCAAGCGCCGCCTTCGGTTGAGTCGTGCATGTGCACTGTAATCCAGGCGATACATACAGCGTCCTTTCCGGCTGAAACACCTATGTATTCTGCACGAGCTCCACCAGTGTCTTGGGCGACTTTGAAATCATGAATATCGCCAGCCTTGATATAGGCTCCATTAGATTTGCCTCGATACTCAACTGACCCAATAGCACCAAGAGCATCAAGAGGATCGGGCATGTTGGTTCGAAGGAAATTTTGATGTTGAAAGAGTTGAAGAAAAGAGAAGTTGTACTTTGCCGATATGAGAAATTTTGAGAAGTGGCGATTGATGATTGCAATGAAGATTAATGATATGTAGTTTATCAAAGAGAAGTCTTGCCCTTTTTATATCGATTCTACCTGCGTTAAATATCATTTTCTTTGTCGATCTCCAGCGGGGTTCTTCTTTTTATTCACCGTTTTCTCGAGTGGAGAACCCATCTAGGTCTGGTCGACGATCGCGTCGCGAGCCATCTCTCAGGGGTCAGACCAACCTTGACGGTTTCCAGTCATTTCCATGATTGCTTGTCATAACGCCCCTGGGTTGACCATAATGATATCATTATTGCCGTTAGACTTCTCGGCAGTTCCGATTTTGAGTTATCAAGGCCAGCATGCTTGCGTTCGTGACGATCAAGGCGTCGACGAGACGTGCGGGATACGCGGGGTAGGTACGCAACCATGTGATCCGGTTGTCAAGCGAGATCAGCAGGTTGCTTGTTATTTTGATTTTCCTTGAATCTGCGCGTTTTCTTCTTCAATTGCCCTAAACGGCAAAATGAAGCGCGATACACGTCTTGTCACTGTAGCATCCCGTTGGTTGCAGCAAACCTGCAGCACGTCAGTCTGTCCACTGGCCAGATATCAGTCACACCTTGAAAGAAAACCGGTTTGAAATACTTTTGACCCTGGTAGTTTCCAATCTTAAGATACATCTGTTACATGTTATTGAAAAGTTTTCTGCGCTTTTGAAAATTGCACCACTTTAGCGTTTTCATACAGCAGAGTGTATGACCCATCGCTGTGTATTATCCTTTCCAGTATCCTAAATCAGATTGTATACTGAAGCAAGTTACTTACTCGACTCGTAATTACGCAAAGATACAGGCCGGAAGCGGCTTTTGGCTGGAACATTAGCGATTGGAGATGATATCTCCTAGCCAGTGGGTGAATATCTCACTTTCACCTTACGACCATGGAATATTTCATGACGTTTTAGTTAGAGGACCACTCTTCCTTCATTGAAATCGGGATATGAGTCTATTATGGGGTCATCAAGCTCTAAAAGACTGAGTGTCTTATCATTGCACGAGATGATGCGGGCCAATATTTGCGAGTCGCGGCTACATGATGCAGAGTCAGGCATCATACCTCAACAGCCTTATAGAAGCCTCACAAGCTACCTAGAGCAATGCTTGGGCTATGCAGATTGCTACAGTGGTTTTGCTTCTCATCATGACGCCTCGCTGTAGCCTCGAAGCGCCCAGCCCAAGGATCTTGTGACAAGCAATATTGGCGCCAGGCTGCCGCCCCTTCGCAGCGGCGCCGCACAACACCAATGATTTCCGTGTTCAATTATGTGTGCGCATTTAGCTAGCACTTCGCCTCGCAGATCATGACGTTTTCTAAGCTCGCCGCCACGTAATCGTAGAAAAAGACTCGAAAGGTAGGATTAACCCAGACCGGGGACGCCTTTCACTGCTACGAACCGCAATACAAATAGGAGCAATGCTCAGGTCAGATAAAGGGAAACACCCAAAATTCTAAATCAATCTTTCAGTGATTTTGATCATCCTACCTGTCGAGCATTTCACAATAACCACTACTTTTAAGAACGCGTTTTGTCGTTACCATGAAGTTCTCTTCCATCGCTTCCGTCTTTGGGCTTACCATCACTGTGGCTATAGCTGCCCCAAACTTATTGTCCAGACAAAATGACATTCAGGAATGCAAAGATGGCATCGAAGGACCTGCAGACACTTGGTATAAACGTATGAGCTCTTCCTCCTTGACGGCGTGGCGACGAGCGACGAGCGACCCGTGATTATTGCTTACAACCCATAGAGTCCGATTGCCAGAAACATTGCATTATGAAAGAAAATGCCAAAGGCTAGAGCAAAGGCAACGTGTGCCGTGGTTTCTGCGGACCCACGGGCGGCAATCCTAACACAGTTCCCCTCCAAGGGTGCAGAGGTGAGGGTCTGCTTGAAACGGGTGTTAACCTGGATGCTAACATGAAGCTTATTGCATAGGTAAACCGTAAATGTCGTCGCCATAACCATATAATTACGGTTACCCATGCGAGGACTGTTTAAGGACATGACCCAGTAAATTAGTCAATACAGCTAGCTTATCTGTTTGAAGTACTCGGTATTAATATTCAACCTGTTGGTTCGCAGTGAAGTGATGTCGCCCTGAACTAGCACTAATGTCTTGCTAGACCCGCACGACCCGGCCCTGGGCGCCGTAATATATTTTAAAGCTGCGCCTCTTATGTCTATCCGGTTAGCCTGTATGCAGGCGCGCTTCCTTTGAGCGCAGCCGTGAATGTGAAGTAGTATCCGTACGGGCGCGTGATTTCCGAATCGGGACGCCTCGGCTCAGCAAAGATCGCCGGTGCCAGCGCGTCGATTGGGGTCAGCGCTTTGTCTTAGAACAAGATGACGAGAATGTTATTATCCCATGACGGTAGTGGCGCCTACGTGCGTGCCCAACGACGCGGCATCACAGCGGGCGTCACTCGTGTGACGTGATCATCGCGAGTTTCAGCAACATGGTGCGTGTGAATGACGTTTGTGGCGCCTTCACGCGTCTACAACCCAACGCGGCAATCACAACGGGCTATCATCAGTTCGAGGGGTTGAGGAGAGCTTTAATGACCTGCCTGGTAGCCCCAGGTCGAACCGCACCTCGACATCAATATCCCTCTTGCGCGACGCACCTCCAATCGACTGTGTAACAAGTCTGTCTGAGCCAAAGTCGCATTATGAAGTTCTCTCTTCTCATCCTAATCTTGGCGGCTGCTTCCCTTGCAAAGGCAGCCAGCACGCCAGACGCCAGGTAAAAAAATACCCTGCGATGCAAAAACAGACCTCTCTGCCCGCTGACAACTAGACACGATAGAGATGGCAACCTTACAATTGCCCTGTTCGCGGACAGCCAGGGCGACTCGTGCAGCGCCAACGACATCAGCAACGCAATTTCCTTGACTACAAGTTCGATTCCAGTCAGCTTCACATGCTTCAACGTCAGCGACATCTTTTCGCACAGTAATAGCAGCACAGGATTTCAGCACGGGTTGGCCCACTATCACGACAACGGCGACCAGCTCAACGGTGTCGCCTGGCTTGCCCAGAACCAGCACCTGTACGACGCAAAGGCCAACTACAGCCGCGTCTGGTATTCGCAGGCCAACGCGTCCAAGGTCGAGCCCGACAAGGCCGGGTCTTGGGTGTTTTACACGTATGCGTTGCCCAACTGTCAGCAGCTCGCAAAGGGACGGCCTTCTAATCCAAACGACCACCCATGGTATATAACGAGCTGCCAGACGGGCAAGGACGGGCAATGCAGATTGACTCCGGGGCCTATTGTCAGCTTTGGCATCAACACGGCTGTTGTCTACAACCCAACTCATGGGGGTTGCGCGACTTGGGCCAAATTCGGCGCGGCGCCTATAGTAAGGCAGAGTGCTGGCACAGTCGTCGTTATCGCGACGACAATAGCGATATGGCTCTTGAATTGAAGTAAGATGACTGAGATTCTGTACACGAACTACGTTATGTAGGCCTCAAATGGGCAATGACTTTTGAAGAACGGACACGGAGGACAGTGCAGGTCATGTACGTTGGCGAGCGCTGGGAGCCTGCACCTAACCAACACAGGTAATACTAGGTAACGAATTGTAATTTTATTTGATATTCCATTCGGAAAAGAGGATTAGTTATTTGATATCAAATATTAATGTACAGATTTAGAAAAGTACGCTAGCAAGGTACTTGATCTATGGGTGTGAGAGCCTGTACATTACAAGTACAGGGGTTGGTTACTTGGCAAAGAAGCTTTCGCCTGAATACCACTACTCTGAATAAAAATAATAAAAAAAACTCGTATTTGACAGTTTTTACGATATGCTTATCATATAACATGAATATCTACTATTGTTGGCGTGACTTTAGCTTGAGCACCAACCTGTTAATTCAGATTTGCGATTTATTGAATTCTACTACCCCGCCCCCAACCCCCGGATTGTGGCTGCAACTTTGTGATCCTTACATTGTCGAAACGCAACGTAGCCATGATATTCAAGTCTGAGCAAGCCGAGATTCTTTGTAAGTAATCTCAGAAAAACGGTCAAAAGCCTCATATATTTTCACATAATCAATACTCATTGTTGAGTTATAGATCCCAAAGCCCAAACTATTTGGCACTGGCTTTTTGAATCGGGCCAGGCATACACGCCACCTAGCGCCTCCGCCCCCGCTTCCGAATCTCCTCCTCCAGGCTTTACAAATGTCAGCACAAAGCAGCACCTGAGCTTTGCCGACGTAAAAAGCCATGCCGCTCACCTATCCTCGACCTTGGTCAAGCTGTACAGTCTTCGGGAAGGCGACGTCACCCTCATTGTCAGCAAGAATTCCATCTACTTTCCGATTGCTGCGCTTGCGTCTGTGCGGGCGGGGGGGATCGCGTGCGGGGCATCCCCGGAATACAATCGCGAGGAGCTGTCGCATGCTCTTCGATTGAGCAAGGCCAAGTTTCTCTTTGTCGGGCCTGAAGTGCTGGATACCGCCCTGTTGGCTGCCGCGGCTTGTGGCCTGTCCCGGGAAAACGTCTTCTTGATGGACGATGGCCAGCGGCAGCGCGACGACGACAACAATCATGTACGCAGCATCGAAGAGTTGATTGTGCAGGCAAGCAAGTTTGGCGATGCGGCGCAGATGCCCGCATGGAGACTGCCGCCTGGCAAGACGAATCGTGACGTCTGTGCGTACTTTGGCTTTAGCAGCGGTACAACTGGTCTGCCAAAGGCAGTCATGGTGTCGCATGCCAACGTGATTGCGCAGTGTCTTCAAATGCGAAAAGTTACGGCCGCGGACCATGACAAGCATCTAGCTGCGCTACCGTTTTACCACATCACCGGCCTCGTCCACCAATTTCACCTGCCCATTCTTCTCAATGCCAACGTGTACATCCTGCCCAAATTCTCTCTCGCCGTCGCGCTGGGTGCAGTCGTCGAGTATAAAATCAAGGAAGTGTTGCTTGTCCCTCCCATTCTGATTCAAATGGTTCGCCAGCCCGAGCTCATTGCCAGCTACAATCTCTCTCACGTTCGCCGCTTCTGCTCAGGCGCGGCGCCACTATCCCAGGAAATCCTGACTGCACT